AATTGGGAGCACTTCACATTTGGAACAGGGCAGATGTGGGAAGGGAAGGAGCCGACGCTGCCGCAGGGGGCAGGCGTGCTGCACCGGGGTGAGCCTTCCTTGGGACCCCGATAAGGCGGGCGAGCAGATTTTGAAATACTTACTAAAACACCATTTATTGGCAGCAGTGCTGGAAGGAAGAAGAGGAGAGCGTGATCTTAATGTCCCTCCTGCTGCGGGGAGCTGGGCGGCATGCAGTGTGGGTCCCGGCCCCGCACGGGTGTCCCTGGAGCTCTTCGGGGGTTTTTTGTCTTGTTTATCGTTTATCACAACCTAAGGGATTCTGTGATGGATAGAAGGATACCAAGGGCTGTAATCACCTGTGCCAAGCGGGAGCTGCCTCCGGGCTCCTTCGTTAAGATGGGACAGCTGAGGGGATGTCTGTGGCACGGCAGAGGCTGCCTGTTCCCTGGACCGCTCACCCCTCGATGTGTGATGTTCTGATCCGGATCGTGGCGTCAACCCCTTCTCCTTCCAGGTTTGGGATGCTATCGAGGGGACCCTGCGCAGCAGCAACGAGGAAGGTCAATCTGGCATCACAGCTCTCGTCTTCCTGAGCAACAGGTAACTTGTGTTCGGGTTCAGGGATCTCCTGTGAGAGGAGGGGGACATGGGGTGAACGTCAGGACCCAGCCCTGACCCTCCTGCCCTGGAAGTCCAACAGCTCCACACGGCAGAGGCTTAGCCAGGAAGCCTCTTCCCACATATCCTGGGAGGGAGACGCTGGGAAGTTGTAATTTCTGCGCCCCCTTCCTTGCAGCCAGGGGTTCCTCCTCACAAGGGAGCAGCTGTGGTTTGTGCTCAACCTCGGGAGGAGCCTGCTCTCAGAGCGCCTCACTCTGTGCCTGCATTTCTCCCTCAGGATCGTTGCTGCCCGCTTGAACGGCTCCTTAGATTTCTTTTCGCTGGAGACACACACATCCTTGAACCACCTGCAGTTCCGAGGTGAGCTCTGAGCTCTGCTGAGCCTTTCCCTCTTCTCTTGCCTCCTTGTAGCTGAGTCTTCCTTGCACCCGCTTCATGAGCTTCCATAATAACGCTCTGCCCCAAAACGCCCTGCGCTGAGCGAGCCGCAGGCGTCAGGAGTTCCCTACGCAGGGAGAGTGTCGCAAGTTCCACTTTTCTCCACTGCTTAGGGCTGGAGGCTGAGACGTGTTGCAGGGCCGGCTCTGCCCTGTTCCTCTTCCCTCTCCCTCTCCTTCCTTATTTTGTCCTTCAGCAAGGTCTGTTCTCACTCATTTGTGCCCCAGGTAGCCCGACACACAACCACGACGCGCCTTGGGGCCTCAGTGCAACCGCAACTCGCACAAAACTGGTCCGTGGTGGTCACTGGTTTGCGGTGCAGCTGCTCCTTGGGTTCTGGAGTGGCCTGGAGGGGAGAGAAACCCTGACCTCGCTCTGGGAGAACGGTCGCGTTCCTGGAGGGGTGTCCTGGGGTCTGTGAGCCGCAGGTGGGGAAGATCTTCAAGGTCCCTTCCAACCTAAACCATTATATGATTCCTGACACCTGCCCTTTAGATACTTGAAAGCATTGATGAGATCCCCCTCAGCCTCCTCCAGACTGAACAGCCCCAGCTCTCCGAGCCTTTCCTCACATGGGCGACGCTCCAGCCCCCTCATCATCGTAGTAGCCCTGGGCTGGACTCTGTTTAAAGAACCAGGTTTAAATTTCTTCGAGTTCGGCGTCCGAGCATCCCTGACACCGCACTGTTTCTGGGTGACAGCAGCCTCGGCAGCGTAAGGCTGCGCCTGCTGCAGCAAGGACTTACCCCTTGTGTGTCTCTGCAGGAGCCCCGAGCAGGAGCAGCATCCCGTCCTCGCCGGTGTTCAGCAGCAGCGACATCATCCTCTGCCAACTCACCCACACCGTGTCCTGCGCCCACCAGAAGCCCATCACGGCGCTGAAAGCTGCAGCCGGACGCCTCGTCACCGGGAGCCAGGACCACACGCTGCGGGTGAGGCTTCCCTGTGGTCCCTGCTGGGGTGGAGGTGATTTTCCTGCGCTGTGGGACATGAGCTCATCTCGCATTTGGGCTGACGTAGGCAAGGGGTTGGGGTGGGGTGGTTGGAGTCCAGTCCGGTGCGTTCCTTGAGCTCCACTTGAGGGCTGGTTCTTGTCCTGTCACTTGTGAAGCTCTTGGTGCCTCGCACACACTCACATCTGCCTCTTGTGCCCCGCAGGTGTTTCGGCTGGAAGACTCGTGCTGCCTGTTCACGCTGCAGGGCCACTCCGGAGCGATCACCGCCGTGTACATGGACCAGGTAAGGCGCCGCTGGGTCTGCTCCTCAAACAACATCCGTAGCCTGAGCTGCTGGGACCCTTTTCTGCTTCCCGTGCCCGTGTGTGCTCCTCGGAGGATGCAGAGGGTTTCGCTGGCTGCTGTAACCACACGCTCACCTTATGAGCTGACCCAGCACTTTCCTGCGAGTGCAGCGATCCCTTTCCCTGGAGGTGCTTTGCCTCCCTGCCCTGGTTGGACTCGTGCTGCCGGGCTGGCTGCTCTCTCCACGGCTCTGGAGCCAGGAGCTGAAACCTCCCCGGGAAGTGTTCCCTGGCCTCCTGGGGACCGGCTGTTACCTGAGAAAGAGAGAGTGAAGGCTTTGCCAAGCTGACACACGGCCCGTGTTGGGTGAGCAGGGCCAAGGACGGGGATTTCGGAGCGTGCCCTGTGCTGCTGTGAGCCCCCAGGGAAGCTTCATGTAGTGACTCGACTTGGAAAGGAGGAGGAGAGCCACGGCTCTGAGCTCCACAGCTTCGTTTAAACGAGTTTAAGTTTCTCAGCACCTGGGAGTCCAGGTTTTGGAGTCTTGTTACCTCCAGCCTGCTGGAACACTTGTACAAAGGCTGGGAAGCCACCAAGCAGGTGGTTCAGCTTTCGATCCTGTGTTCCTGTCATCTCCTACAGCGTAGGAGCATGCCCAGAGCTGGACGTGCTTCTCCAGGGACCCGGGCTGAGCGTTCCGCAGCCTGCCCTGCCTTGAACTGGGGTCCCCAGTTCAAGAGATGGGAAACTACTGGAGAGAGTCCAGCGGAGGGGCAGCCAAGATAACTGGGGGGACTGGAGCATCTCTTCTGAGGAAGGGTTAAGAGCTGGGACTGCTTAGCCTGGAGAAGAGAAGGCTGAGATGAGACCTCATCAATGTCTGTGAATATTTAAAGGGTGGATGCAGGGAGGATGGAGCCGGACTCTGTCCGTTAGTGCCCAGTGGCAGGACAAGAGGCAACGGGTACAAGCTGGATCACAGGGAGTTTCATTTAAATAGGAGGAAGAACTTCTTCCCTGTGCGGGTGCCGGAGCCCTGGCCCAGGCTGCCCAGAGAGGTCGTTGAGTCTCCATCTCTGGAGACTTTCCAACCCGCCTGGACGTGTTCCTGTGGGACCTGCTCTGGGCAGTTCTGGTGATCTCCAGAGGTCTGGTCCAACTCCAGTAATTCCGTGACTCTGTGTCCGTGGCGCTGGGGAGCCTTGGGCGGCAGCAGCGAGGCCGCGCCGTCCTCCACCGTTCTTGACGTGGTTCTGCCCGTGTCCTTGCAGACGATGGTGCTGGCGAGCGGAGGCCAGGACGGCGCCATCTGCCTTTGGGACGTGCTGACGGGCAGCAAGGTCAGCCACATGTACGCCCACCGAGGGGACGTCACGTCCCTCACCTGCACGACGTCCTGCGTCATCAGCAGCGGCTTGGATGACGTCATCAGCATCTGGGACCGCAGCTCGGGGATCAAGCTCTATTCAATCCAGCAGGTGAGCAGCTGGGGGAAGGTAAAGATGCTCTGATGCTTTTGTGGGACCTACAGAGCACCTCTGCCGGGCTCATAGTGCGAAGGGATCAGTATCTAAACTCCACAGGCTTTGGGAAACTGCCCTGTAACGTCCAAGAGCTCAGAAAAGACCGAATCCCTTGGTTAGCCGGACCGCCCTGTCCCACCGCAAGGCTCTGTGGCCCCGTTCTGCTGCCACCCGCTCTCTTGACGTGTTCTTGTTCCCCGCAGGAAATGGGCTGCGGCGCCAGCCTGGGCGTC